GCCCTGGATGAGCAATGTGTTCTATTCCATCTCGAGCCCCACTGGAGGCGCAAATCAAAACAAGGCGTCAACGACAGTAAAACTAGGCGTGGGATTACGGTAATCGCTTGGCTTACGCAATCGCAGACGCTCTCATGTGCAATAAATTCAAAAAAGCTCAAATCCTCAGCCTACACGACAAAACTCCTTGAATTTGAGCTGCTGTAATATTTGACATGCACAGTTTTCTGCGCGACTCATTGTATGCATTCTGAGGCTTCCTTGAACACCGTTAAGCTTTGCAAAATTCATTTGGGAAAGTGTCATAAACCTCGATCTAAGTCGCCTAGTGGATTTTTCGCATACCTTTTTGGTTAAACATTTGGGTCTATTTATCTAGTGAACAGCTAGGACTAAACTTAGGTAGGGGAGGAGGTCCGCCGGAGAAATTGAAGATTGCTCCCGAACCCGGGGTGTTCCCTCCCTTTTAAGGTCTAGTAATCCTAAACCTTATACTGGGAGAATATGCTATCGGTGGCTGTAAGCACGTTGATCGCTCTGGACTGCAAGACCTCCTCCTTGCTGGAATAGAACCAGACTTTTTTCAGGGTGTGTTTATATACCAGTTTAACATTCGGGTCTCATCAGTAAGGTATCCGTAGACTCGGCACAATCGCCGAGTCAGGCGGACATCTGGGGGATGTGGTACGACAATTCATATCGCCTGAAGTGATCCAAATTTTCGCAAAATAATGAAGCTAGGGTTGAGTAAGTTCTGAAGCCGTGACCTATCCTTTCCCAGGCGAGGGGGACAGAAGAATCTTTTAAATTTATTTGCTTTCAGAAACCCACTTCCTTTACTTCCCGCACACGCTTGCTTTTACATATTCGTGACAAACATGCACTCTTTCAGGGCAGTTTTGATGAGAAGACAAAGATGAAAAGGAAATTTGAGAGATTTTTTGTTCTCTTAGCCCTGGGGAAGGAGGGGGTACGGCCCCTGTACGTTTCCAGTGTTTGCGTTCCCGAATGGAATTGTTGTTTACTCACGATTTTTGTTTGCCCTGTTTCTATTCTTTATTTTATAGGTTGTGCTGCCTCTGAAACACGCTACGATATCGGGAAGTTAGGTTAATATGGGTATCGTTAATTGGAGAGATCAAAATTGAAGACGTTCAAGTCTAAGATGTCGCACCGGAACTACGACGAAGACTCGTTCTCTCGACTGGATGGAACGGAGTGAGTTTTTTTTAGCTACTGCTGTCAAAAGGATTTGTGAAGCTCAGCAAAGTTGTGGCAAGGAATTACAAGCCAGACGATTGTTTTCAATGATGTATGAACGCAGGGCTTCAAATACATTTGCGGTTTATGAGAAATAGATGCTCTCACTGTTGATTCTCCGTAATTGGCCGATGTCACACTCTGCGATTGGAGCGATTCGGTCAAATGTGAATCGTGCGAATCGCTCCAATCGCAGAGTCTGACATCGGCCATTCGATGGGCTGTGAACATATCGCATTTGTCGACCCTAGAGTAAGTAAGGGTAGGTACTGGCAGCAGTGTTATATATATTCAGTACTTATTCAGCAGGCTTTAAGGTCCGGCAGTGTCTGTTCTCTTTTCCGAAACGACATTGCTGATAACTGATCAATCTTGATTATTAGCAAAATGAGGCTTCTTTGCTGCTCTTACATCTTATTTTACAATCATTGTGGGATAAAGCTTGCTGTCATCTTTGCATCAAGCTTCTTTCTATTCATTGCAGCCAGCAGGAGGACTTCGAATGCTATAAACTGGTAGATGAAGATGATCACGACGTTTTGATTTCGTATGTCTTTTTTTTATCATGGTCTTTCGAATCTATTTCTATTGACTAATTTTTGATTATTAATTTTATCTGGTCTTCTTTGATTTCACCTAGATCGTTCAGGAGGTATTTGTCGCAAGGCGACTGCGAAACGGCAACCTACTGGATAGATAGGTCATACGCTAAAAAATGCGAAACTTCGACCAGTATGATCGACTTCGCCAACTACATCAAAGTATGTTGAATTTGAATAACGTCTAGTGACCGTCTCTTAAACGAAGGTGCAGTGATAATCACTACAACCTTATTCAACTTATTTCAGGGTCTCACGATTGTTCATCAGTATAAACGTGTATCGCAGTTGATACTCAATCGTCATCTTGTAAAGAAACATATCGTATTTGCATATTACTACGTGAATGCTCTTTTCCATCTTCGAATGTATTCGGTGATTGTTCAGCTTCCCATAGGGAATTTGGTGAGTACCATTCTTGTGAGCGGTTCCTTCGCAATGCACTCAAGGGCTGCCGATATTATATTGAAAACACGGCATCAGAGGCTCTTTCTGACACCGATAGGACTATTTTTGTTCCACTCAAGTCCATTATATTGTAGGAACGAGCATTATTAATTGGGTAGGTTCTTCGACTCCATTTGTGGATGTGGTGAAAGTTTTTTTGGTAACGGTTTTTAATTTTCTGAGCAAGGTCCTTTGTTGCGTTGTCGATGCCGGATCCTACATAGGCATCGTGTTCAGATCCGCGATTCATTCTTCGCATTTTCGCGATTTCGCGATTTTCGCGATTTTCGCGATTTGCGCGATTTTCGCGATTTGCGCGATTTGCGCGATTTGCGCGATTTGTCGCGATTTGCGCGATTTTCGCGATTCGCGATTTTCGCGATTTTGCGCGATTTGCGCGATTTTCGCGATTTGCGCGATTTTCGCGATTGCGCGATTTTCGCGAAACCTGCGATGGATCACAGGAGTTGGAAGTGCCCGATGAATACTGCGAGGTGTTGTTTAATCCTGCTGCGAATTCTGCTTGGCAGTAAAGATTGGAAGACGAATGTTTGTGGTTCTACTTGTTTCATGTTCAATGTCTATTAGTTCATTGAAATGCTCTTGAATCGTTCCTATTTTTTCAGGAATCAAACCAAACCAATCACAAAAATTGCAAGTGCCCCATTTGAACAATTGAAACACTGGATATGAAACAAGTGGAATCATGAGCAGTCTCCATTAAACCATAACCATCAAGCAGAAGTGACGGCGGGATTGGAGAACACCTTGCAGTATGGATGGGGCACTTGTAATTTCCGTGACCCGTCGCAAAAATCGCGAAACTCGCGCAAAGGATCGCGGACTCTGACACCAGCCTAACCAAGTTCGCTGTAGGCCTATTTGAAGGATTATTCTCCCTTTCTGGCACGAAAACCACATTCATTTAGCGCGAAAAACACCCATGGCGTATACGGCACGGGGTGAGTGCCTAATCTCTCTTCGGGACCCTCCCGTTCACTTTTTCAAAAATGCGAGGGATTTTGGCTTAAGATGATTGTGTGTATCGAAACGGACCTCCCATTTGCAACATTTATTATTTTTTATCCTATTTATTTGCTTGCACGACCGTTTTGCGATTTGTGTTTTTATTGAAGGTGTTTCAGCGCGCCTGCGTTCTCACATCAAACGAGGGTGATTTATGGATAATTACTGATAAGATTCTAATTGATGCTTTTTATCATGCTTTTGGTAATCTGTCGTTCATGCGCTCGTTCGATGTGAGGTTATCTTTGGGCTTTATTCAACATGTCATTCAGATGTTGACGGATGGACTTCCTGTGAGATATCCCGATTATCACTGTGGCCTGGAAGATTACTTGGATTCTTTCAGTGCGGAACTTTCGGAAAGCGATCTTGCGGCGTTGAATAAGATGATGACTTCATTAAAGGTTATCTTCATTCATTTGGTTTCGAGGAGTCAAACGCAAATTAGGCTGCGATCATGCATTGCGTTGCCTTGCGCTTCTTTTTATCTCGAGTGTGAAGAAGGTACGTATCGATCATGCGATCGCAGGACAGATATCTTTCTACTCCAAACCGAGCTGCAAGTCTTTCGAAAATTATGAGGCACCTCAACAGGGCGTAATAACTTCGTATAGCAGCGGATCTTCTCGAACACGTTCTTGCTCCAAGAAACATATTGAAGTGAATGCTACTAAATTGACAAGTGGGCTTCAATGATGCCTTGCTTCGGAAATTCATTCCAAGCTTTTTAGCTGTTCTCTGCATTGATGGTGGTTTATGGTCGGACATATATTCTACTAGAGAATCGAGATTTTGCATCTCGCTGTTTGATAGCAGCGTTTTTAGGTTGCGTTTTAAAATGTTGCAGTTCTTGTTGTGGTCTACCAAGTAATCTTTTTAGGACCGCCATTCTCTAGCAGCAGAGCAATTGCTGAGAAACTACAAACTTGTTCCTTCTACAAGCAAAGATCCCTGTTACCGTTTGGTAAGATTTTTTTCGGCAAATCAGCTTGAAGGAAATGAACAGACAACTCATAATTCATTGTCATATTAATGAGTGACAATCAAGTCAAGTGACTATCAGCGAGCTAGTTTCTCTGTTGAAGAGGTTTTAGAGAGAATGTTATGCTAGGTATTGCAGCTTGCCTAGAGTAAGGGAACGCTTCAAGCCGGTCTTATTCAAAACGTGCGTGTTCGGAGGAGAAAATTCTATGGTGAAATGTTATTATTACGTTCCATTTGATATTCAGATGAAGAAGATGAAACAAACCGAAATTTCTGGTGATCCACGACAAAAGACCGAGTTGGCTCGTGAGCTGTACCGAGATGGCAAAGTGGCCGAAACTCTGGAAACAACAACAATGATAATGGAAGAGCATGGCCTCTACATGGTTCGTTTATATTTGTGTTAACCTCTGTTTCCTGGTTTTTTGTTCAAGTTCATGAACTTTTTTTTTAACAAATATTCGTGTTTGGGCTGTTTGCTCTCCTACTTCGCTAACGTGTGAGTGTTCTTACCAAAGTTTAAACCACCGGTCTTGCTTCAATTGTAAATGAGAAAAGAAAAAAGAGATTGTTCACGGGAAAAGAAAGTATGGAAGAGAAGTTCTGGAGTATGTCCATTATCGCAGCGGTGAATATTGCTTCGCTCGTGTTGTTTTGGATGACCATCTCATATTTTAGGACTGCATCATATTGCACGCGAATTGCCTCTGCTACTTCCAAGATTGGAAGAAACTGTTCCTGCTTGCTCATGAATTAGTCTTTTCTTTTCCCGATCACCACTACAGCTGGTAAGGAATTTCAACAGCTTTTGTTTGGGCGGTCTAGCTTTCTGTTTAGGTATGTGGTTGCTGCGTACTACTTCACATGTAATAACATACCTGCTGCAAAAAATTTTATAAGTAGGAGAATATATTGTTTATAAACTTATTCCTTGCAGTAATAAAGATTTTCAGACAAGTCAGCATTGATGAGAACAGCGTTTGGTGAAGCTTGGATTGCGTACGGCCACATTCTAGCTGCTGAATCCGAAAACGAACAGGCCTTGAATTGCTATTATCGGGTTGGGTTGTGGAAACATTGGTACTGCATTTTATTTTTTTATACGTTCTCATATTATAGGCCGCGCGAATCTTGCCTTGGCATTACGAACCAAAGATGTACATAGGAATGCAATATTGCAGAGTCGGGGTGAGAATGGCGGAGGAATTCCTTCGTGAAGCTTCCTGCATCAGGTCTTGTGATCCCGTCATAATGCATGAGCGTGGATCTTACTACTACCGCTACAGCAAGTTCCACAGTGAGGTATCTATCTGTTAGTTTCTGTAC